TTTGCAGGAAACAAGAAATTTTATGGCTTGTAAAGGGGCCGCGTCCGTCACTGCGGATAGAGCTCTATAAAGACATTCAATTTTGGCCAATGACAGCTTTAGGCGCCGACAACTTTGCAAGGTGGTGACAACATGACTGGTTTCCTTTTGCTAATTGCCACTGATAACAATCCATTGCAGCGGGGAATTTTACAGATTGGTAGTGCACCCCCACTCCGCCATGTTTCCCAGGCTCCACTGTCCCACCTACAGACCCACATGTGGGTGTCACCAGGTGTAAGAGAGAGAGACTAGTGATCATTTGTATGTTGATCTTCCCTAGCTAGAATGAACACATCAGTGACATGCTCTACATGGGATCAGCCACCACTTGAGTCAGCCAATCTGCAATCCATTAATTCCAGTGGAGGGTAGGTGAGATATCAGGGGTCTAGAACAGCTTTTCTCAACCAGGGTGCCTTGAGGTTTCTTCAGGGGTGCCTTGGCAAAAATGTGTAGAGATTGCCCAAAACTTGTATGCCAGCCTGTGTGTGGAACAAGCCTGCCTTTTAGTTACACAAAGCCAGAGGTTTTCATTGCGCACCATTAAGACCTTCTAGCCGCTGGCGTCCTGATAACCAATGACATCATCAGTTGATAAGGAGGATGTCAGCTGCCTGCACAGCATCCTAGTTTGACCCTCCCCTGCCCCTTTCCATCAGTGCTGGGGTCACATTGGCTCAGTGATGGAGAAAAACTGAGGGAGAGCAGAAACATAGGAATACTAGTCAGTACCAACGTGCAAAAGTATATTTGCTTTGGAAGAATAAATCGCCTCAAATGTTGGGTGTCCTACATGTGTGGGTGTTGCTGCGGTATATAAAACTTAAAATAGTTTTTCACATTTTAGAATGGGGTGCCTCAAGACAGTCCATAATTTTATAGGGTGCCTTGACTGAACAAAAGGTTGAGAAACACTGCTCTAGAAGACCTCATTAAAGAGTACCTGTCGATCACATAGGAAACCAAAAGCCCCCATGGTGTCTTCTAGGGGCCTATTCGTCTCCTATGCGATAGCAATAAAGTTAAGTGAAAAAAAAGTGTAAAATTTACACCAAAGCCCTTTAACCCTCCTACCCCCAGGAAAGTCCCACCCTACACCCCATTGTACATGCACATATGTATGTAAACAAACACGTCGTTGGCAGCTATGCAGGAAAATGTTGATTGGACCATACATATACATAAAGTCCAGTAGTTCAGCGTCTTTATAGAAACATGTGAAACCCCACAAAAAATTTTTCTTTATAAAATGTTCTTCCAAATTAATAGGAATCCTCCTTTTTCTGTTCCTGGTTAATTTGGAAGATTTTATAAAGGAACATTTTTTGTGGGGTTTCACGTGTTTCTATAAAGACGCTAAACTACTGGACTTTATGACTTTGACTTTCAGGGGAGAAAGGATGATTCGGCGTTGAGGGCATTTCACAATATTATTTTTGGGATAGCACCGAGTTATTTATTACATACAGGGGAGGACTGACCATTTGGAAACTCGGGCACTGCCCGAGGGCCCGGGGTCAGTAGGGGGCCCCATGAGATGCCCCTGGAACTTTTTTCATAGGCTTTTTTAAGTTTGGGAAGGACACAGGGGCCCCATGATCCCCTATTGCCCGGGGGCCCCATGAGTTGTCAGTCTACCCCTGATTACATACATAGATATATTTCCAGAGTGAGAGTGATAATTTTAGGGTCATTATTCACAGTCATCTCTAAACCTGTAGGGGCTTTTAAAGTGATGCCTGTGGAAAATTTATGGGAGTCTGTCGCCATTTTTGCATTTTGGATAGAGTAATGGAGGGTTATAACCCTTGTTGGTTTATTTTTGCCATATGTGTCTCATTAGGGAGGTTTACCTTCACTTCCTGTCCCATAGCCAAAACAGGAAGTGAGAGAAAAATCCCTGCAAATTAAGGGAATTCCTTTGGGACCCCCAGGTCACAAGAACTAGTTGTCCCCATTGGAAAACAGGACAAATAGAGGTGAAGCTCTCTGATGGGGGCACAGACTGCAAGAGAAACATAAAAGGTGTTCTATTCCATTTCCACCCTGTCCAAAACTTAAAAAAAGGTTTTGCCTTTAGTTATACTCTTAAGGTTTGACATGTTGGGTATCTGCAGTGCCTTGAAAAAGTGTTCACACCCCTGAAATTTTCCACATTTTGTGATGTTACAACCAAAAATCGTCAATGTGTTTTATTGGGATTTGATGTGATAGACCGAAACAAAGTGGCACATAATTGTGAAGTGGAAGGAAAATGAGAAATGGTTTTCAACATTTTTTACAAATACATACAGTATCTGAAAAGTGTTGTGGCATTTGTATTTGGCTCCCCCAGAGTCAATACTTTGTAGGACCCCCTTTCTCTTCTGCAATTCCAGCTGCAAGTCTTTTTGGGGATGTCTCTCCCAGCTTTGCACATCTAGAGAGGGACATTTCTGCCCATTCTTCTTTGCAGAATCACTCATCTCTGTCAGATTAGATGGAGAGCGTCTGGGAACAGCAATTTTTAGGCCTTGCCACAGATTCTCCATTGGATTTGGGTCTGGACTGTGACTGGGCCATTCTAACACATGAAGATGCTTTGATTGGAACCATTCCATTGTAGCTCTGGCTGGATGTTTCAGGTCATTGTCCTGCTCGAAGGGGAACCTCCGCCCCGGTCACAAGTCTTTTGCAGACTCTAACAGGTTTTCTTCTAAGATTGCTCTGTATTTGGCCCCATCCATCTTCCCATCAACTCTGACCAGCTTCCCTGTCCCTGATGACAAAAAGCATCCCCACCACATGATGCTGCCACCACCATGTTTCTCGGTGGGGATGGTGTGTTCAGGGTGATGGGCAGTGTTAGTTTCCCACCACCACACATAGCGTTTTGCTGTTAGGCCAAAAAGTTCCATTTTGGTCTCCTCTGACCAGAGCCCCTTCTTCCACATGTTTGCTGTGTCCCCCACATGGCTTCTCGCAAACTGCAAACAGGACTTCTTATGGCTTTCTTTTAGCAATGGCTTTCTTCTTTCCCTTCTATAAAGGCCAGATTTGTAGAGTGCACGACTAATAGTTGTCCTGAGGACAGATTCCCCCACCTGAGCTGTGGATCTCTGCAGCTCCTCCATAGTTCCCATGGGCCTCTTGGCTGCTTCTCTGATGAATGCTCTCCTTGCCCTGCCTGTCAGTTTAGGTGGACGGCCATGTCTTGGTAGGTTTGCAGTTGTGCCATACTTTTTCCATTTTTGGATGATGGATTGAACAGCACTTCGTGAAATGGTCAAAGCTTGGGAGATTTTTTATAACCTAACCCTGCTTTAAACATCTCCACGACTTTATCCCTGACCTGTCTGGTGTGTTCCTTCATGATGCTGTTTGTTCAATAATGTTCTCTATCAAACCTCTGAGGGCTTCACAGAACAGCTGTATTTATACTGAGATTACATGACACAGAGGGGGCCTCTATTTACTAGTTAGGTGACTTCTGAAGGCAATTGGTTCCACTAGATTTTTGTTATGGTTTTCAGAGTAAGGGGGGCTGAATACAAATGCACAGCATACCCTTCAGATATTTATTTGTAAAAAAAACTTTGAAAAACATTTATAATTTTCATCATGCCTCTGCCTTTGAAAGTCATGCTTGTAACTGTCAGTTTTGCAATGCCTCATGGGACTTGTAGTTCTACAACAGCTGGAGGGCCACAGTTGCCCACCCCTGGTCTATCACATCAAATCCCAATAAAATACAGATACGTTTTTGATTGTAACATGAAAAAAAATGTAGAAAATTTCAAAGGGTATGAATACTGTTTCAAGGCACTGTATTTACAATCTCACCTTTTATATTTTAACAAATTGGGTTGCATATTGCGTCTGTGTGTCTAAAATTAATGTTTACTGAAATTTTGTGTTGCTATTAAATTGGTACTAACGCTATTTTATTCTCCATGGTGTCTGCTTTTAAAAAAATTTGAAATATTTGGGGGTTTTAAGTAATCTTCAGGCCTAAAATTCTTCTTATTTTTTTTTTTTTTTGCACCTCTGGCAGTGAAATGGTTAAAGCCTCTTCAGCCAGCCAAATCTCTTTTTCTTTTTTAATGCATGGTAAATTTAGTATGGGCTGTGACAGCGAGAGGTTTTTCTCTGGGGGCCATATATGATACATTATTAGCAGTCAGTTCATTTTATTATACCGATAGGAGTTTTTGACATTGATGTATGAAGGAAAGGTTTCGGGTATCAAGAAGGAAAGTTCACGGAGAATTCAGAGGTTCCTGTCTGTGTCTCTCTCTTTGGTATTTGTCTGGAGGAGGTCGGAGTTGCCATTCCTACCCTGAATTTGGAAAATCTGATTTCAAGGAAAATCCACTTTTATGGCCAGCCTACGGCTAAACGTTCTCAAATTCTCCCTCTATATCCATACCCAAAGGTAGAAGTTGACTGATGCTTCACTTTGAATATTAGTCCAATGCTGAGCTGTGTATTCTTCTGTGACTGAAGATTATTTAAATTTTGGCACTCTGTACAATAAAAGTTTTCAATGAAAATGTATTGAAAAAGATTGAATACTGCAAGAACTTCACCCGTACTTGACAGTTGGAAATAGGAGGTCACCATAAAGAACAATGGTTTTATTTTATAAAGAGGCAAGTAGGTTTTCTAAGACCATTAATTATGATAAATGTATCTATAGCCAAAACTATTTTTTTTTTAATAGAGTAGTGGTACCGGCTGGTGGACTGTGGCCTGGACAGTGAATATGTGCTACTTGGATTTCTCACCTACCCTTGATGAGGGACTTCAGAAGGACCAGGCCGAGGAAGAGGCAGAAGAGGCACCTGCCTTAGTTATCCTGCTGCACTTGGGGATCCCAGAACAATGACACACTGACACTTGCGGGTCCTAGAACATTGACACACTGACACTTGGTGGTCCCAGAACAATGACACACTGACACGTGGGAGTCCCAGAACAATGACACACTGACACTTGGTGGTCCCAGAACAATGACACACTGACACGTGGGAGTCCCAGAACAATGACACACTGACACTTGGTGGTCCCAGAACATTGACACACTGACACTTGGTGGTCCCAGAACAATGACACACTGACACGTGGGAGTCCCAGAACAATGACACACTGACACTTGCGGCTCCTAGAATATTGACACACTGACGCTTGGTGGTCCCAGAACAATGACACACTGACACGTGGGAGTCCCAGAACAATGACACACTGACACTTGGTTGTCCCAGAACAATGACACAGTGACACGTGGGAGTCCCCGGGGGAAACAATGACACGCTGACACTTGGTGGTCCCAGAACAATGACACACTGACATGGGGGAGTCCCAGAGCAATGACATACTGACACTTGGGGGTCTCAGAACAATGATACACTGATACTTGGGGACCCCAGAACAATGGCTTACAGCCCCTTTAGGTCCTATAACAGTGACATACTGACAGAAAGTTCCTGAACAATAATATCACACTGTAACTTGGGGGTCCTAGAACATTGACAAACTGACATTTGGTGGTCCCAGAACAATGACATACTGACACTTGGGGGTCCCAGAACAATGACACACTGACACTTGGGGGTCTCAGAACAATGACATACTGAAACTTGGCAGTCCCAGAACAATGACACACTGACACTTGGCAGTCCCAGAACAATGACACACTGACACTTGGCAGTCCCAGAACAATGACACACTGACACTTGCCGTTCCCAGAACAATGACACACTGACACTTGCCATTCCCAGAACAAGGACACACTGATACTTGGGGATCCCAGAACAATGACACACTGACACTTGCCGGTCCAAGAACAATGACACACTGACACTTGGCGGTCCCAGAACAATGACACACGGACACTTGGCAGTCCCAGAACAATGACACACTGACACTTGCCGTTCCCAGAACAAGGACACACTGATACTTGGGGACCCCAGAACAATGACACACTGACACTTGCCAAACCAAGAACAATGACACACTGACACTTGGCGGTCCAAGAACAATGACACACTGACACTTGCCGGTCCCAGAACAAGGACACACTGATACTTGGGGACCCCAGAACAATGGCTTACAGATCCTTTAGGTCCCATAACATCAACATACTGACACTTAGAGAGTTTCTGAACAATATCACACTGTAACTTGGAAATACCAGAACAATTACACACTGACATTTTGGATCCCAGGACAGTAAGACCCTGACATTCAGAGTTCCAAAACAATGACACACTAATAATGGGGGGGGTTCTAAAACAATGACGCGCTAATAATGGGGAATCCCAGAACAATGACACACTGACACCAAGAGCTTCTTGAACAAGAACAATAACATACTGTAAATTGGAGATCCTAGAACAATGACACTTTGGGGCCCAGAACAGTAACACCCTGACATTTGGGGTTCCCAAACAATGCCACACTGACAATTGGGTCCCCAAGACAACACACTGAAATTTTGAGGGTTCCAAAACAATGACATGCTGACACTTTGGGATCCCAGAACAATGACACACTGATACTTGGGGCCCCAGATCAATGACACTCTGACATTTGGGGATAACAGAATAACAACACACTGACGCTTGGGGACTCCAGAACAATAGTTCACTGACATTTGTGGATCCCAGAACAATGACCGAAACACTTGGATTTCTTGAACAATAGCATGTGAACACTTCTGGATCCGATGCAGATGTAGACGTTATCACAGTTTACTTGGCCTCACACTCCAAAGTTTTGTGTTCCAGAGCACCTTTCAGTAAGTTCTCTCATGGAATGTGGTCAGAAGCTACTTCCATTACATTAATGGCTCGTTATTGCTACAAGCATACTTTGCTCCTCTAATTCTTCAACAATTGCTTCTGTTTGCTTCTTTAGGAGGATGACTCTTGGCTTCCAAGGTTCCTCATCCATCGGAGAAGGCTGGGTTATAGCAATGTCCACCTGTCCTTTATTTATGGTCAAGTCTTGGCTGGCTGCCCTTCAGTGGATGCAATAAGTCACCTGGATGTCTTAGCGCTTAAGCCTCAGTCTCAAATTATTCTCAGGCCTGAGGTGGTCAAACCTCTCTGCGAGTCATTAAACTGGTCATGAGGATTGGATAGAATAGTGGCACTGGCTGGCAGGATGGTGGACAGTGAAGTGAATATGTGTTACTTGGGTCTCTAACCTACACATGGTTAGGGACTCCAGCAGGGCCAAGCTAAGGCAGCGGCAGAGGAGGCACTTGCCATAGGAATCATGCTGCAATTGTTGGTTCCAGGCAGATGACACACCAAAACCTTGGGTTCCCAGAATAATAACTTACTGACCCTTGGTGTCCTGGAACGATGGCACACTGACACTTTGAGGTTCCTAATATAACACTGACACTTGGGGATCCCAGGACAATAACAAAACAACACCTGGATATTCTGGACACTTCTTTTTCTAATGCAGATGTAGACCTGATCACAGTTTATTTGGCCTTGCACTCTTAAGTCTTGGTGTTCCAGAACACCTTTAAATGAGTTATCTCTCATGGAAAGTAGTTAGAAGCCATTTCCATGATATTAGATTCTCATTATGACCACAAGCATACTTTGCTCCTCTTATTCTTTTCCAACAATTGCTTCTGGTTGCACCTTGTGAATGAAGACTTTGGGCTGCCAAGGGTCCTCCTTAGTGAAGGCTCAAATATAGCGAGCTCCATCTGTCATTGATTCATGGACAAAGACTTGGCTGACCACCATTCTCCTTTGATGGATCTAGTATCTCACCTGAATGTCTCAGCTCTTAACCCTCAATCCAAGGCAATCCCAGGCCTGAGGTGGCCAAACCTTTCTGTGAATCATTAAACCATCCCAGAGGATCGGAAATCTCACACCTGTTTGTGAATTCAGAGAAAACCTGGACTTGACTTCCACAATGGTCCTTTATAGACTTTTCAGGATATTTGTGAACTCTTGAGCCTTTCATGGCTCTCCATAAACACTTCTCATAATTGTCTGGAACCACATTGAAACATTGGAGCCAGAGAGCACTGGAACAATACGTTGCATCCATTAATCAATTCCGACAAATCTAATATTCTGCTGAGCTGGACTCTGCGCCCAGCGCCGTATGTGATATAATTTCCCAGCATCCTCTGTACTAAGTGAACCATGATATTATTCCTCAAGTTTTGTTTACTGTGTTACAAAGAAATGGAAAAATAGATTGTTTGATATTATTATTATTATACAGTATTTATAAAGCGCCAATAGTTCGCTCAGCGCTGTACATTACAAAGGGGGACAGAACATGTGACAGAACAATACCAATACAATGTGATACACGAGGGGTTCGAGGGCCCTGCTCTTTCGAGCTTACAATCTAGGAGGGAGGGGGTGGTGGCACAGGAGGAGATAGCTGTGGGGGATGGAGTGGTAGGAAGAGTGGAGGAGGTCGGCAAGTTAGCAGGGGGTGGGGTAGGCTTCCCTGAAGAGATGGGTTTTCAGGGTGCGCCTAAAGGAGAGGAGAGTAGGTGATAATCTGATGGGTTGGGGCAGGAGTTCCAAGGATGGATGGCACCCTGGAGAAGTCCTGGAGGCGGGCATGGGAGGAGGAGACCAGGGAACTAGAGAGAAGGAGGTCTTGTGAGGAGCGGAGTGTGCGTGCTTGGGCGGTACTTGGATATTAGGTCAGTGATGTAGTTCGGGGCAGTATGGTGGACAGCTTTGTACGTCAGCGTTAGGATTTTGAATTTGATCCGTTGCGCAATCGGAAGCCAGTGGAGGGATTGGCAGAGGGGGGTGGCGGAAACGGAGCGGTTGGAAAGATGAATGAGTCTGGCAGCCGTATTCAGGATCGACTGAAGCGGGGATATAGCCAGCGGCGAGGCAGGCCACTGAGGAGGGAGTTGCAGTAGTCGAGTCGTGATATGATGAGGGAGTGGATGAGCTGTTTAGTGGTTTCTGGGTTAGGAACGTGCGGATTTTGGCGATGTTGCGGAGGTGGAGTCTGCACGAGTTTGTTAAAGATTGGACTTGGGGCTGGAAGGATAGGTTGGAGTCCAGAATGACACCCAGTACTCTGGCCTGCAGGGCGGGTTTGATGGTAGCGTTGTTGGATGTGACGGAGAAATCAATGGGGGGTGGTGTCCGGGCTGGGGGGAAGACAAGAAACTCGGTTTTGGAGAGGTTCAGTTTAAGGAAGTGGAGCGACATCCAGTCTGATATGTCGCTCAGTAGGTGTGTGATTCGGTCTGAGACCAAGGGGGTGAGGTGGGGGTTGAGAGATAGATTTGTGTGTCGTCGGCATAGAGGTGGTAGTTGAAGCCGTGAGAGTGTATGAGTTGGCCAAGGGAGGAGGTATAGATGGAGAAGAGAAGGGGCCCAAGGACAGAGCCTTGAGGGACCCCAACAGAGAGGGGGAGTGAGGGGGAGGAATCAGTAAAATTCCACCCAATACTGGTCAGCCAGTCTTACACTATTGCTGCACTTCATTATAAAGGAATCTAAAGCACATTTCTATTTTAGTTTTTGATAGAGAAGTGAAGGGTAAGAACCCCTGTTGGGTTTATATTGGTGACTTTGCCCCACAGGGAAGCTTCTATCTCTCTATTAGTTCTGGGGGCCATTGTCTTCGAGATAGAAAGTGATGGGAAAGGACAGGAGGTGAGGGGAAATCTTCCAATGGGGTCACCTCTCTGAAAAAGGGAATATCCCTAACATTGTAGACATTTCCTCTCACTTTCTGTTGTGTCTATAGGACAGGAAGTGAAGGGAAATCTATACAAAAAAGGGGGTTTTAACCCTTCCCTGCTCTTATCCAAAGCTAGAAAATGAAAAATTGTGTCAAATACTTACCGTAATTTTCCTTTCCTGGTGCCAATCCATGGCAGCATACATGTGGTTCAGAATGCTGCCATGTTGGTGCCAGGAAAACAAAAATTGTGTCAAACCGTAATTTTCCTTTCCTGGCACCAATGCATGGCAGCATACTGAACCACATATACTCACCGGCCACGTCATTAGGTTACACCTGTTCAATTGCTTGCAGCACAAATTGCTAATCAGCCAATCACATGGTAGCAACTCAATGCGTTTAGGCATCATAAACGTTGTGAAGACAACTTGCTGAAGTTCAAGCCAAGCATCAGAACGGGGAACAATGGGGATTTAAGTGACTTTGAACGTGGCATGGTTGTTGGTGCCAGACGGGCTGGTCTGAGTATTTCAAAAAACTGCTGATCTACTGGGATTTTCACACACAACCATCTCTAGAATTTACAGAGAATGGTCTGAAAAAGAGAAAATATCCAGTGAGCGGCAGTTGTGTGGATGAAAATGCCTTGATGAGGTCAGAGGATAATGGGCAGACTGGTTGCTGCGACATTCAGATGGTAGGGTCAGAATTTGGCATAAACAACATGAAAGCATGGAACCATCCTGCCTTGTATCAATCGGTTCAGGCTGGTGGTGGTGGTGTCATGGTGTGGTAGGATTCATCCTGCCTTGAATCAATGGTTCAGGCTGGTGGTGGTGGTGTTATGGTGTGGTGGATCCATCCTACCTTGTATCAATGGTTCAGGCTGGTGGTGGTGGTGTCATGGTGTGGTGGATCCATCCTGCCTTGTATCAATGGTTCAGCTGGTGGTGGTGGTGTCATGGTGTGGTGGATCCATCCTGCCTTGTATCATTGGTTCAGGCTGGTGGTGGTGGTGTCATGGTGTGGTGGATCCATCCTGCCTTGTATCAACGGTTCAGGCTGGTGGTGGTGGTGTCATGGTGTGGGGGATCCATCCTGCCTTGTATCAATGGTTCAGGCTGGTGGTGGTGGTGTCATGGTGTGGTGGATCCATCCTGCCTTGTATCAATGGTTCAGG